CTTTTCACATCCAGAGAAATATTCTGCCTTTTCAATATTTCCTAGGATATTTCATTTTTCTGGGAGAGGGATGGGTGATAACTTCCCACAGGACCATGTGATAGACTTGTGAGTCTAGGGGCAGGATCTTGAACTTTCAACTGGTGGGGAAAACCTGGAAGCTTTCAGATTCAAGTTTTCCCAGATGTGCCAACATGGCCCTTATAATAAATCGGAATTTTGAGGAACCTCTTGCCTCAGAGTCTAATTTAGTTGAGGAAGCTATTTAGAACCCTGACATTATGATTCTTGATGAATGTATCTTGTCCTTTTATGTACACTGAGATCATATGCAACAATGACAAATTCCTTGTATGTCCAATCACACTTGGCCAATAAAGAATTCTATTCTATTCTATTAAAAACACATTTTCCCTTATGTACATACATATAATTATTACAAGTTTGGTTTGAGCTTACCTTAGTTGGGTCTAGTCAATTATAGCTTATGCAATAATTAAAAGGAATCGTGGCATAGTATATTGGAATATGTTTTGGACAGAAACTTTCCTCGCTGTAGGTTGAACTATCTTGAAGATTGACAAAATCCAAAGGGAAGGGGAAATTGAATCCAAGCTTGCAGCACTATAAAATAAAAAAAACTTGAGTGGTTGCTAGAAAAGGTTTTTTTGCATTCTCTGCGTCATTCCATTGCCGGTCAATTCTACCTGTTTGCAAACGCATTCACACGTTCTCCATCGAGAAAGGGATAGCAAGGAGCACTTTACGCATGCCCTGCGTGGTTTAGATGTGAATATTTTATTTTGCAAACCAGGCAACAGGAAACGAGACGAAACATTTTTTTTAGAAATCACACGTGCCCCGAAACCCAGCCTTTTCTGTATTCGGGTTGCAAATGACGTCAGAGTAAGTGATTTTCTCGCAATCGGCTTGAGATGGACGTAAAATATTAGAAAGCTTTAATTATTTATATGCAGAATTAGCAAACAAGTTTATATCGCCGGGGGGCAAATAAGGGGTATGATCCCTGACGCACAGAAACAAATACCTATGAAATATTAAAAAGAAAAGCAGAGCCTGGTTCAGCTTTCAGACAGGGCCTTGCCAACCAATCAGAGGGAGGGAGGAAGAGAGGAAGGACGCGACAAAACTACACCTCCCAGAAGGCCTCTGGGCTCCGTACCTCCTGAGTCTCAAGATGTCTTCCTTAAACAGTAAGTGCGAGAGAAGATTTTCTGGCGGGCGGGAGGACCGTGTCCTTGGGGGGAGGAGAGGGGATCCGGGACGGGCTGTTGTTGTGGAGGGTGCCTAGGGGTGCGAGGGTGGAAAGAGGGAGGAGGAGGATGGAAGGGCGATGAAGATCGCGTAGATACTGGGCAGAGGTTGTTGGAATGTCATGTAACGGAGGGCGATGACGTCATGGAGGGGGTTCATTCATTACTTTATTTATTCCATTTATTTTGTCAAGCATGTATAAGGTAACAGGTATGGGTATAAACATGATTATGAATAAGTGGGGACAGTAGGACAGGGGTGGTAGGCACGTTTAAATTTAAATCGTTTAAATTTAAACTCGAAATTTACATTTAAATCCTGCTTTTTTTCTCCTCAAAGCGTAGTGCAGGTAGTCCACGACTTCCAAAAGTTTGTTTAGTGACCATTCAAAGTTAAAACGGCACTGAAAAAAAAATGACTGTTTTTCATGCTTACTACCGTTGCAGCATGCCGAGGATCACGAGATCAAAATTCAGACACTTGGCGCCTGATTCATATTTATGACAGTTGCAGTGTCCCAGGGTCCCCTTTTTGCGACCTTCGGACAAGCAAACAACTGTTTGATAGTTGAACATTTGCTTAACAACTGTGGCAAGAAAGGTTGTAAAACGGGACAAAATTAACTTAACTTTGCTTAAAAATCTGACTTAACAACAGAAATTTCAGTTGTGATTGTAAATTGATGACTACTTGTATTCGCTCCATCGCCCTTCAGGACTCCTTTGTAGGGTATGGTAGGATTGTAGTTTATCTCCCAAAGACCTCCTCATGCTAATGGCAAGTGACGCCTATCTCTATCAGCTCCTTTGGACTTCCAAGGTCGACAGAGCTCAGAAATGCAACATTGAGATTCCCTGCCGCCAAAGACAACTCTGGAAAAATATGTAGGACAAACAGTTGCTGGGTAGATCTCCCTCCCCCCCCCCCGTCCCCAAATAAATCAATTTCAAGCTTTCTTCTGAGGGACAGAAACGTCATTTGTTGAAACTCTTGCAAATTATTGACAATTAGAGAGCAGATAAATGTAGCGGTTGAGGCACCAGGCTAGAAAGCAAGAAACTTGGGAGTTCAAATCCCATCATAGCCATCCAGCTGGGTGACCTTGGGCTTATCATTCGCTCTTAGCCCAACTCGCCTTACAAGATTGTTATTGTGGGGGAAATAGGAGGAGGAGGAAGGTGTGTTAGATATGTTCTCCGCTTTGAGCTGTTTATGAAAACAGTAAAGATTGGATAAACATGAATGAATGAATACGTAAATAATTCCATCCCTGATTTTAAAATGTAGGAAAGTTAAATGCAGATGTGAAAGATGGATCTGAGCCTGGACTTACATATGTTTTACTTCGAACCCATCAGAACTCATTAAGTCTCTCCTCTCTTTCCTAGTTGTAAGTCGAGGATTATCTGTACTTTCATATATTTAAAATACTTAAATGTCAGTTTCCATTAACAATGTTCACAGTGTCAGAACAGATCCAACCAAAAGTAAACTGCCTGTAAAAAAAATAAAGACCAGGAAAAAAGCAAAATCTAACAAAAGCCTTGTGTAATAAAATAAAGTTTTCCAGACACTTGTATAAGAATACGTTGGTTGTTTTAAAATAATGGAGAATTGTCCATTTGATGTCAGATGGCTGCAAAGTTTCCATTTTAATCAATTCTAAAGCAATGTCTTAACGGTAGCTATGAGCAACCAAATTTATTCAAATTAATATTCATCGTAGAAGAGCTACGCAGTCAAATTAGCAAGAAAAAAACCAGGAAGAATATCCTAGCACACACATTTATACACACACACAAAGTAACTCTACCTCTTCACACAATTCCAGTCTTAGCAAGTGAAATCTGCAAGAAAAAAACCAGGAAGAGTCTGGTAGCACTCTTTCTGATTAACATGTTTTATTTAAAGACAACATTTTATACCTTTTAATGAAATGTTAATTGGAAAAGGAGCTATCCAGATTCCCCTTATCAAGTTTTGAAGTGACTTAATATGGTAACTGAACGGGTTATCTTAACTATCAATTAAAAGTTGGGAAGGCATTTTGTATTGCTAGCTCTGAAGCCTGAGTAAACAGTTCCAGATACTACTGTGGGAGACAGATCTGCTTATCAAAAAACGCCTCTTTATCTTTCTGCAGGAATGGTAACATATGTGAAAACTGCATGGGGCAAGGAACCAGTGATTGTAAGCTCCATAGTCATTGCAATTGTGGGTGAGTGTACACTGATGTTCCCTGGAATCCAAATATGTTTGGATGCTTTCCCAAGAGGCAGCTGGACTTCTTGGGGTTTTTTTCCTTGAAAATGTTTCACTTCTTTTCCAAGAAGTTGAAGAAGCTTGAAACATTTTCAAGACAAAAACCAAGAAGTTGCCTTTTGGAGAAGCACCTTTGGATCAACCATGACCAGATAGGTGATTGAGAATCTCCATAGATAATTTATTCTTTCAACGTTTAGTATCCTTGAAATACTAAGGGGAGAAGAGGTGTAGCAGCCCTTAACACTGGGGTATTAAACAGAATCAGGATTAGTTTTTAAAAAGTTATGTTGCATAACCCCAACCTGTGAGTCACGGCCTGCTAATGGTCTGTGGTCTATTGGCCACCAGGCCGCGTGAGTAGCTGGCCATGCACAGCCCCACTTGTGCAAGCGTTGCCACAGGCACTCGGAGCCCCACTCACACAGCCACTTGCAGACCATTAATGTGAATGTCATGACAGGCTTCATACATGCTTGCACGAGCGATGTCACGGGGATTCACGGTCCCACTCAGATGAGCAGTAGGTGTGCGCACACAGGCATGCACCTGCCCCTCCCACAAAATCATCCCCCCTCCTCCCACTCCGGGCCGCCAACCTGCAAAGGTTGGGTAACTCTGTTCTAGATTACATTCTTCATATTTCCAATCTTGGCCTCTTTCCAAATCCCTCGTGATTTGTAACACAGGTTTCACTTTGAAATGGGGTACGGACTGGGGCTCCGCTACAAGCACTTCTTAAGTGTAAAGAAAATCAGATTCATTTCCAGACACTTTCATTTTGGGAAATTCTTGGAAAACCACTAGGAGTCATTCAAGATAATGTTGGCAAATATTTGAATCATGGAACTATAAGATTGGCACATTGTTTCAAGGAATTATGCTCGGGAAACTTAGTTTTTTTATTGATTCTGTGACTAGTGATCAAATTTAGCTTGTAGCTCCCATGGTAAATCATTCTGAATAAATTCATTCATTCATTTATGGTAGCTTTATACAAATGTATTTCTGGCATGCATCTTTGTTTTCATTATTTCAGCTGTAGCCCTGCCATGGGTGAGCCCCATTGCCCGTTATTCTGCATTAATGAATGAGCGCATGCCATATCACTACCCAGGTACACATTTCTATTTTTTTAGAAGCAGTTTTGGTGTTTTAGCGATAGCAAAGAAGCAATTTCCATCAATTTTTAATATGTAACATGTTGCAGAGATGTGTGTGGCTGAACGATTTCTTGGGAGCAAGGCATAGGGAGTCCCTGCGTGTAGAATGTCCAACTTATGGACAACTCATACTTACAAACAGGCTTCCTGCTTCTAAAAATGGTAAATGACCTTCTCCTTCCTTGAGCTAATAAATCACTAAAGCCACGCAAAGTTTTCACATCACTTAAATATGAGCCAGCAGTGTGCTACAGCTGCCCAAAGAACCAACACAGTCTTAGGATGCATTAACAGAGGGATAGAATCAAGATCACGTGAAATGTTAATATCACTTTATAATGTCTTGGTAAGGCCACACTTGGAATACTGTATCCAGCTTTGGTCGGCACAATGAGTGTAGAGAAGAGCAACCAAGATGATTAGGGGCTTAGAGGCTAAAACATAAAGAACTGTTGCAGGAACTGAGTATGTCTAGTTTAATGAAAAGAAGGATTAGGAGTGACATGATAGCAGTGTTCTAATATCTCAGGGATTGTCACAAAGAAGGCAGAGTCAAACTATTTTCCAAAGCACCTGAGGGTAGGACAAGAAGCAATGGATGGAAAGTCAGCAAGGGGAGAAGCAACCTAGAAGGAGAAATTTCCTGACAGTTGGAACAATTAATCAGTGGAACAACATGCCTCCAGAAGTTGTGGATGCTCCAACACTGGTGGTTTTTAAGATGTTGGATATCCATTTGTCTGAAATGGTATAGGGCTTCCTGCCTGAGCAGGGGGTTGGACTAGAAGACCACCAAGTTCCATTCAAACTGATTGTTTTCATGAATTGCTGAGGCCACACATTTTTAATATAAAGCCTGTTTTCAAGGTTCATGAAAATTTTGCATGGCTTCAGTATTTCATCAGCTGAAGGAAGGAGAATGCTAAGGCTTTTAGTAATAGGCAACCTGTCTGTAAGCACAGGTTCCGACTTACATATAAATTTAAATTAAAGACAGTCTTAGGAATGGATCTCATGCTTAACCCAGGGACTGCCTGTATAAGAGAGCCAGAAGTATGGGATATTCTGGAGCAATTTAAACTATTTTTTCTTCCTGCTTTAGTTATTATTGGGTTAGGCAGGCAGAGGATTGGCATCAGAGACAAAATTTTAAAAAGTGGAGGGAAAAGTCCTATTTTCAGATTTCTCTGTGTTGGCCATGGGTAGTTTTCTGATATTTGAGCATCCGAACAATTATGGTGTATAAACCACAAGATATAGCTCTGTGTATTGATCCAGTTGTAGGTAAATCAGTGAACTAAATCTCATGCAATGATGCTGAATTTACTTAACCAGAGATTAAATGAATTTACAATTAGCTGTATTGACATTGGGTTTTTTTCAAAAGATGGAGAATGTGCTTCCATAAGACAGGTAGTCCAAAACTTACAATAATTCGTTTAGACACCATTCAAAGTTACAATGGCATTGAAAAATGTGACATAATCATTTTCAGTTACCTTCACAGAATCCCCACGATCATGGAATCAAAATTCAGATGCTTGGGAACCTGCTCATATTTATGACTGTTGCTGTGTCCCAAGGTCATGAAATCACCTTTTGTGACCTTCTGTCAAGCAAAGTCAATGGGGAAGCCAGATTCAATTAACAATCTCTTATTAACTTAGGAAACCTCAGTGATTCGTTTAACAATTGTGGCAAGAAATGTTGTAAAATGGGGCAAAGCTCACTTGACAAATGTCTCACTTAACAACAGAAATTTTGGACTCAATTGTTGTCACAACCGAAGAACTATCTGTACAGTCCTCGACTTAACAGTTGAGCCTGAAAATTCCATTGCTAAGCGCAACAATTGTTAAGTGAGTTGCACCTGATTTTAATGACTATGCCATGGTCATTAATCGAATCATCAGTTATTCAATGAACACTGTTTCCCTCCCATTGACTTTGCTTGTTGGGAAAGTCAGCTGGGAAGGTCAGATAGTGATCACGTGACTCTGTGATGCTTCAACCATCATTAATCAATGCCAGTAGCCAAGGGCCCAATTTTTGATCATGTGTTTGCTGGGAAGAGTGCAAGGACCGGTTGTCACTTTTTTTCAGTGCCATTGCAATTTCAAACCGTCCGCTGAACAAATGATGATAAATCGAGGACCACCTGAATGCTTAGCTACAAATAAAAGAGCTACCATATTTTTCGGAGTATGACACACCTTCCCCCCCCTCTAAAAACGCATGGAAATGTTGGTGCGTCTTATACACCAAATACAGCCATTTTTGGCCTCCTGAAGCCCCACCCCCACATCCAATTTTTTGCAAAAATTGGGGTGTTTTTGCCTTCCCCCACCCCTCAGCTCTCTGCAGGCTTTAGCAGGGCTGGGGGAAGGGAAAAATCCCCCCCGTTTTGGTGAAAAATGGGGGCGTTTTTGCCTTCCCCAAGCCCTGCTGAGGCCTGCAGTGTTCCTAGGGACCAGGGAGGACAAAAACGTTTTCTTCTGACTTACCCCTTTGAAATCATGGTGCGTCTTATGCACCGGTGTGTCTTATAGTAAAAAAAATGTGGTAATTTTGCCTTAGAATGTTAGATATGAAATCAGGCCCAAATAGATTTATCTACTTAACTTACCACAACCTACAGAGCACAGAGGCAGGATTTGTTCTCCATGCTAGGCCAAAATCAAAGAAGCACATTATGTATATGAATCCAGGAATTGAATCAAGTGGTCCATGCCCTTCCTTACACTATATAATTCTATAAGTGCTGCTGCTGGACATTTACAGAATGCTCATTTGGTTGATGTTCATGATTGCCCTTTCTTCATCATAGTGCCAGTTCGAGATGATGGTAATATGGCAGACATTCCCGCTCATCCCTGTGACAAGGACGGTGAACAACTTGAGTGGCTGAGGAAATGAGAATCGGCAGAGGGTAGATCTTCCCCAAAACTTCCCCTGCCTTGGTTGTACATGTGTGTTATTGTCGGGGGCAATAAATTTCCCTGTTGTATTTAAAAGCAGACTTATCTGGTTGTTGTGGCTGGAAATTTAGATCAAAGGGGGAACACTGCATTTTTGGAATACCTATCCTCATAAAATCAGATAGTTAAAAGTTCTTATGAGGCTTAATCAAGTCATGGGGCTTTTTCAAAGTAATGGAACTGGGAATTTTTTTCTTAAATTAAGAGTCTGATACCATTGCACATACTGTCACAAACAGCAGTTTGTTAAAGAAAAACATTGACAACCTGCTACACTAGGGTTTTTTTTTTGGGGGGGGGGAGAGGAAGATTCTGTTTTTCATATTGTCAAGAAATATAAAAAATTCCTTAAGAGAAGACTATGCACTGTCATAAAATTGTTGGGGAAAAAATATGGGAGAGTTATTTCAAACCCCAATTCTTTTGACACGGCTTCCTTCCTTCCACCACCCAGTTCTAAATTAGGACTTGAACCAAAGTCTTGGAGGAAAATTTGACTGGTTTATACATGCTAAGCTATAATACGGTTTGTTTGGTTTCAACGTAGCATGATATATTAATACAACAGTTAATTTCTAAACTTAGGTCGGTCGGTCAATGATTTAATGTGCTATAGAGGCCCGGCTAATTGTGGTTTATGTGCCTGATTCACTTTCTTTGGTAGAGTCAAGGCACAATTTGTGCAATGTATTAAGCCACGCAGACTGGTTCATAAGAGTATGCTTGCCTCCGTCTTACCTCCCCTACAGAGTGAGTTTTTAAGGTTTGTCTAAGGCTGAAAATGTCTGTCAATTCAGAATGACTGCCAGTTTTCGTTACAGAAACTGAGATTTTCCCTTTAAACACAGTCTGTGTCATAATGCATTGCTACAACCATAGTGTTTCCCCTCTTCAGTAATTAGAAAAATGTTAAGAAATAACTGCATTTAAAAATAAAATTGGCTACTTTAATTGACTTGTGCAAGCTGAGGATTCCCCCCCCCCCCCCAAAATGTACATACGCACGAACACACTTTGCATCAGCCTAGACTCTGGGTGATTGCCTGGACAAAACGCTGAAGTTTTCTTGGCAATATTTTTGAGAAGAGGTTTGCCCTGGCCTCTTTCTTAGGGCTGAGAGTGAGTGACGCCAGTGTCACCCCTGTGGCTTTCATCTCTCTGCTGCGGCTCCGTCACTCAAAATATGTGTCACAACCGCCAAATGTGTGACACCCACCGGCACACAATTTATTGAGCTTTTCAACCCCTGGTAGGTTTTGTGGCTCCCGGTCTTTTCTTTTCTGTGGGAAACGGATCCAAATGGCTCTTTGAGTGTTTAAGGTTGCCGACCCCCCCTCGCCAAGGGCAGGACTACACCTCGGACTACACCTCATGGCCTCCCAGTTTCTAGCCTGTTGCCTCAATCATTACACCAAACTGGCTCCCTTACACCTTAGATCTTGGTTAAAGGAGGCACCCCATATAAGATGCACTGTTAACGAGTAGACACACAGTCACGTTTGATTGGTTTAATACCTCATTCAAATCTTGCCACAAAGTAGAAGCCATAAGCTTGTTGTTCAGTTACATCTCTTTGAAATCTAAAAATGCATTTAGAGCAAAAGTGTGGTTTGTTCAAATATCATTCCTAACTTGAGGGTATATGTGGGGGAAGGGGGAGTTCCTGATCCTTATGGCTAGTCTTGAAACTGGATGTTTCTTTGAGGAGGAAACGACAGGAAAAGGGTGCCAGTTCTCTCTCTCTTTTGGACTGGCAAAGGTTCTTAAACTGACACATGAAACGATTTGCAAATACCCAGGTCAATAGCACAGAAATTATTTCCTTTCATACAGACGTAAATTGGCCATTTAATCATGCTGGATCTCATGATACCATAGATCAAGACACGGTTAAAAACCTTGAAGAAAGATTAAAATAACTCAGCCTTCCCTCAACAGGTGGTTTTTCCAACCAAGAACATCCACAGAAAAAGACATGGTAGAACGCAGCAATGGCTGTTTTCTGTGCACTTTCTAATGCACAAAAACTACTTGTCCCCTACCCCCCAGAAGGGCAAACGTGGAAAGGCTGAACAGTGAACTCTCAAAAGGGCCCTTCCTCAATCTTGAAAGGATACAAATGTTTCTGCTCAAAATGGGCCTCCCCATTGAAAGTTTATGGACATAAGTTGAGTCCATTATGGACTCAGTTCAGTTCAAGCTAATCCACTGAATATTTTTACACATTTGACTCCAAAGTTTTACACATTGATTCCTTGCTTAAACTCCATCGCCACTTCTCCTACCACTTCCCCCACCCCCAGCAGTTCACTGGATTAGAGTTGAGGAGTCAGATGGGGTTGATGTCCTGCTATTCCTTAGATGCTGGTTAATATCTAAGGAAAGAAGACGCAGGAATTTTCATCTTCTTGGGCACCCTGATGGCCAGCCTAGCTGCCACATGGGTATATATGCTTTCCTTAGATGAGTGGCCAGCCTCAGTCAAAATCAGAACAGACACCAGGGCTGGGAAACTTTGAATAATGGAGTAACTTGTCCTGGGGACTGGATTGCTGCCAGGCAGAGCCGAGAACATCATCCTGTTCACACTGGAAATCTTCTTCAGCTTTTATCTGCAGCCACAAAACCCAAAAATTATTATCATTTATTGTGCGGGAATCATTAATCTCTGCAGTGAAAAGAAGCCAGGTTGCGTATATTCACATTTGACATGTTGTATTTTTGTGTCATTTTAATTGTTCCCAATAAATATATCAATCAGCTCTACATTTTGATTTCCCTCAGGCACAACTCAGAACAAGTAAGATAGCTTTTTAAGTTTGATAGCTCTTTTAAGTTTACTAACGTAATGAAAACAGAAATGCAACTGTTTCCCAGCTTCTGGGATGTGAGTTAACGTTTGTCTATCTATCTTCATCACTATCTGTAAATAACAGTGGAAGAAATAAAAAAATATCTTCTAATCTAAACTCATGTTAGATAATGTTCACTCCTGAGACTTCTGAATAAGCATATATGCAATTATTTGATGGACTGGAATACAGACACAATCTTGGAGAAAATATGTGGTAACCATTATTTAAAAGGTGAAAAAGCCTAGAAAAACAAGTATTAGAACATTGTCCCACCTTGATTCTCTTTGGTAAAAGAGAGGGAAGGGGAAGAAACAGTGTCTGTTATTGTAGCCTACAGTATATAAATACAGATAGTCCCATCTTAACTGTCCTTAGGACAGGAATTTCCATCAATGAACAAAGGAGTTGTTAGGCAACACAACACACAATCACACTGCATACTAGTGGCAGTTCCAATAGTCTTGGTTGTGCTCAATAGGCTAGAACTCATGCTGCTTCTGCCTTGTGCTCAACTCTGCTTCAACTCCGCCACCCATCTATCTCCCCTCCCCCTCCGCCATCTCCACCTTTTTGGCTGTCCTAAAGTCTGCCACCCCAGCTGACCTTTGCCATCTTCTTCCTCCCACTGCCAGGATATATCAAACCTGGCTTTTCTTGAGGCAGCTGCTAGCCTACGGGCCAGCAGTGCCTTGGCCAGGCATATCTTGACAGCAGCATAATGAAGAAGACAATGAAGGTCGAAGGGCAGTAGGAAGTGCACAGGTGGGGGCAATGGAATACGGTAGCCCAAAGGACAGATGGTGGGTGGGTGGGAGATAGGCAAGAGGCCGACGTTAAGTCTGAAATTGAAATATGTGTAGCCATTTTATTTAGCTCTCTATTATACTCATTTATTCCTTTCTTTTTCTTTACTATCTAAGGGCGGTTTTTCAGGCTCACCACATTCTTAAGGTGGGAGGGAGGAGCGAATAGATAGTGTGGATTGTTTTGGCTAGGTGACCTTCTTTCCTGTGGGAACAGAAGCAGCTCCTGCTGAGAACGGAAAGTGGAGTTTGAAGGCGCAGGGCAATGTGGATTGATATTATATTGGAGAATGTGGCTTTTGTGGGATGTTTCTAACTTAACAATACTATGTGATGTAATTCCGGTTTGTGTCAGATCTGGAATTACAACAGACTTTGCAAATTTGATTTGCCTACCTAAATAAAAGAAATTTGTTTTGGAAGATGGACTTTGCATATTTCTTTTTTGAATGGGTTTCATCACTTGGAAACCTGACAGCCGATTTACATTTCAAGACCATCAAACCTTCCCAGTACCTGCACAGGAAATTCCTCCATGGGCAGCAATGTTGGGGCTGCTCGACGTACCCTCCCCTCCTTCTCCTCACGCAGATGGCGTCGCCGCTTCTTGCTGACGGGGCCTTCGCTAGGGGAGAGGCTCTCTGGCTCTTGGGCAGGCAGGCACCTGGAGGTTTCCTTCCCACAGGGCTCATTCTCTGCATTGCCAGGGGTTGCAACATCGGCACTCTGGATTCCTTCATCCTAAATAGATAAAGCGATGCAATTAGAATTTTCCCACTTTCACATTTGCCCCCAATAGGTAGCCATGTGGCATTTACAGCATGTGGAAGGGGGCTGGGGAGGGGGCGAGCGGAGAGAGAGAGACTTGGCCTTTCTTTTCTATACAATTTGGGGGATACAAAGGCACTCAGAGCTTCATGGCATTTGGCTATCAAACTCTATTTTTGCAGAAATCAAGTGCAGAAAAGGAGCAATTCTGCAATACTACTTGTTGGGGGGGGGCGTGAAAAATGTATTATTTGTTACATTTATTTGCTGCCTACTTTGCTGTGGGTCTATTCTAGGCAGCTTACAACAATAAAAAGGAAGAAATGGAAAAGAGCGTAAACAGAAGTGGTGCCCGGGGAAGGTCCTGATCGGATTTTATGGAGTGAGTTTCAACTTGTCGCTCCTGAGGAAGTGGACAAGGCCATGGGAGTGGTAAGCGCCTCCACCTGTTTACTGGATCCGTGTCCCTCCTGGCTGGTCTCGGCCAGCAGGGAGGTGACGCGTGGCTGGCTCCAGGGGATTATTAACACCTCTCTTCGGGAGGGATCCTTCCCGCACCCCCCAAAGGATGCGGTGGTGAGATCCCTCCTCAAGAAACCTTCCCTGGATCCAGCCATTTTGAACAACTATCACCCAGTCTCCAACCTCCCATTCGTGGGGAAGGTTGTTGAGAAGGTGGTGGCCTTTCAACTCCGACGGACCTTGGATGAAACAGATTATCTGGATCCCTTTCAGTCAGGTTTCAGGCCTAGTTACGGCACCGAAACTGCTTTGGTCGTGCTGACCGATGCTCTCTGGTGGGCCAGGGATAGAGGCCATTCCTCTATCCTAGTGCTTCTTAACCTCTCAGCGACCTTCGATACCATCGACCATGGTATC